GGCCTGAGGGTGGTTTTACACAATCCTAATGACAATAGTTTTGTATACCATCATAAAAATTCATTATTCCTTCGAATGGCTGTGCTGCCGTTCAGTGTTTCGGTCCTTGTGGGCGTACCTAAATGTCCTGCTTTGTGGGAAGGACACACAACCACTCCTCTTTGAATGTGGAGGCCGTTTTCCCTTTGGTCTTTCTTGCCTCAGAAACGTCTCTGTGTGGGGTCTACGTGGCACTTGGACCCACCTCCATGGGCATCTGGAGCTCTCTGGGTCATTTATGGCCAATATTGGCACTTGCACAAGTCAGGACTCTTCCGTCACGAGTCACAAATCTAATCTATGTTCATTTGGCAAAACAAAAAAAACTTACTGCCTCAAATGAGCCAATAATGGATAAAAGTATGGGTAGAGCTCACCTCGGGAACGAAGGCGTCCAGGAACACGTACCCTCTCTCTCCCTCTCCTCTGCCCCCCCCCCCCCACTCATATCACCTCCTCTCTCTGGGTGACTTCATTTTCTCAGTTGCTGCTCTGGGGAGGGGGACATGTTGTCAGGCTTACATTCTTATTACTGTTCAAAAAGGAAAGTAGAGAGCTTTTCCTATTAGTCCAGGTAGGAAAAAGGAAAAAAAACCCAGGTAGCCTACCTGAAATCATGTGCCAAATTATAATCAGTGTGGCCTAGTATGTGTGTGCATACTGTGTGTTTATCTGCGATACATGTGCATGTGTGTTTGCATGTGTGTGCATGCGTGTCTGTGTGTGTGTGTGTGTGGTGCTCTGGTTGGCTCAGCCTGGGTTTGATGGGTGCAGGATGGGCGAAGAGGACTTTCCTAAAGGAAGAGGATGATAGATACAAAAGACAGAAAGAAAGGTGCTGGGTGATTTTTCAAATGTCCTTGCACTGTTTCGTTCATAAAAACTCTCAAGTATAAAACAACTGGATGGAACGACAGGGCAGCAGGCCCGTAGTCCTGATGTCGAGAAATGGGCATTCAGGACGATTCTGAGCCTGTCTCGTAGCCCCTGACAGACACAGCAAATGCAGACGCTTTTACATTGGCTCAGACGGTCCTTCGGAAGAGAGCTCCCTGCTCGTGCAGTGAGAGCCCGTGCGCCTGCCCAGCCAGTTCCTCTCCCTCTACCTTTGTCTCCACGGGTGGACTTGGGTTCCTGAGAACGAGACCTGAGTCTCATTCCCTACTGACTTCCAGCACATGGCATGGAACTTGGCACATTGCTGACACTCAAGGAATGTTCATCCAGGGAATCAATGAACGATAGGTGGGCTGGCAGCAAACGGATAGACCACACCTGTGGTGCTGTTGGCCCATCTGGGGCCACACCCGGGAGCCGCTGCATGGCCGACAAGTGCCATCCATGGGAAACAGAGCAAGCATTAGGAGTAGAGGCCTGGCATCGCTGCCCGTGCCTGGCACACGGACCCAGATGCATATTCATGGGAGCCCACATGCATGATTACCTTGGGAAGCCAGCAGGAAGCAGTCAATCTGTTGAGCAAGTTTGTGTTTTATAAACCAGGTGTTCGGTATTATTAGTCATCATTTCCTTTGATACTAGAACAGTCCCCGTTATGTGGCATAGGAAATGAAGGATATGGAATAATATACACGTATCTACAACAGAGCACCACAACCAAGCATGTCGGAGGCCTGTTCAAAGCCTGGGCAAGTGGAATTGAACGGCAGTTCATTTTAGGGTTCCCACTTGGACTTGAGTTAATGGGATTTCGCCGAGATGGACCATGGTGACCCCCCTCTCCCATTCCTACCCTTTGGAAAATGAATGTTGACTCTCCGTCTGCGTTTTTCTTGGAAGCCACATGTATGAATCATAAGCAGCCTTGCCTCCGCAGCTGCTACAGGTTAAGGGGCCAGGGAAAAGCAGGGACCCCCTAGCGTTTGGGGACAGAGCGTGTCTGGCTGTGGTTGGCTGCATAACTTCTGCTTGGTGGTCTGGAAAAAAACTTTGCCACTGGCTGCTGTTTCCTATGGCAGCAGTACTGAATGCCTTTCGGTCATAAAATATTTACAGTGCAAATTAACTTCCAAATTGATGTTCCTGCTCCATGAAATGTTTAATATTTGTAAAACCCAGACCTGTGGAGACCGGGAAAGAAGAAGCTGGTGGGTCTAGGAGAGCATCTTCATGGCGTACAAGGGGTATTTCCAGCGTCCAGCCAGCCCGGGGGCCAGACTAATGAGCTTGTGCATCGGGAAGGCCTAGGGGAGGGCTCTCGCCAAGCCAGCCCAAGTCGGGCCAGAACTACCCCTAGGAGGGGAGTGGTGAGCTCATGGCTTAGTGACTAGACTGAGCTCACTGCATTTCCTCTGTTTACCTGGGGCTGGTTACAAATGAGTGATTTCAGTACAAATGAAATATTATGGGGACTTTTTCTAGGTAATGATGATGCAATAATTACCTTTGGAATTAGCCCCTGAGTGGAGTTGACACTCTGTTCTGGCTTCATATTTGGAAGTTAGGTTCTCCTGATCTTGTGTTTGTCACAGAACAATGACCAGTGATTTAGAATTGATTTGTACTGAATTGATTTGTGGGGGTTGGGGGGGGGAGGGGGGCTTCACTACTTATTATTGTCAATGGTATGTTTTGATTTCATTCGTGATCTGTATTGGCCTTGCTTGAAATTTTGATTTGAGTTGCAACGTGGAAGTTGCCCAGCGTTATGGATCAGCCCACATCAGTTTTCTTTGCAGCATGAAGGATGACTTAAGGAGTCGGAATGCAGGAAGGTTTGGTTCCGAGAGAGGTGTTTGCTGTGGCTCGGCTCTGCCTCTGCAGATGGCCTTGCAGCCCCTCCGAGGCAGCCACGTTACACTTTAAGTACTTTTAGCAAGAGGGAGGAACCCAGCTTTCACAAACTGTTGGACTTGGTTCCCGGCAGTAATAACTGTCAACGTCATCTCGTTGTTCATTTAATTTAGTTATTTGTACTATGATAAAGTTTGTCTACTTATTCTAACACCCAGATGAGGCTGCCCCAAATAGTAGGTTACGTGGGTGCCATGTGTAGGAGTAAGGGTTCTCCAGAGAAACGGCAGCGCAGGAGATGTATCCGTATAGCATTCTGCATGTTTTCTGTATGGATTTAGAGAGAAGGAGGGATTTACTTAAGCAGTGGCCTCTCACACTTTTTATTTGCGGGAAGTGGGCTGATGCTCCTGAGGTCTGTAGGGTAGGTCGTGGGGCTGGAGAAGGAGTCTGTAGCAGTCTGGGGGCGAAGTCAGTCTGGGAGCGGAACCCTTCCTTCCTTAAAGCTCGGTTTTTCCTCTTAAGACTTTGAACTGACTGAAGAAGACATGCCCACATCATGGAGGGTCATCCAGACTGGCGTTTGATCAAACGACTCGGCACCCTGGCCTAGCCGAGTCGGCCATACGGTTGACTCTCGTACCATGGATCCGCAGTCCTGCAGGGACCAGGAGATTTTGTCTTCTCTTGCTTGTGATGGGGCAATGGAGGCCCATCTTGATAGGGATACACAACTATTCCTGTTAGGAGTTTTTCCCAACGACACCAGCTTCTCTTTAGTTATCATGATTGTTGCTGACGGAAAGGATTGCCCATTGAGAGTGCGTCTCGAATTTTAATATGCGGGCTAATCATTAAAATCAAGGTTCGGATTCAGAGGGTCTGGAGCGGAGTTTGGGATTACGCGCCTCTAACGCTCCCGGGTGCTGCTGTGCAGGGTGCCCGTTGTGAGTAGTGGGGCCCCATAGCTCGAGGAATCGACTGGAAGAACAGGACTGGTAGAAGATGGGTTGAGTTTAAGGGGACAGCCAGTCTATGGGGGCCTCAGTCCATGGGAGCCGCTAGGTTTTAGGATAGTCTCTTTATAATGCCTCTTCGAGAAGACTGAGGGAGCCGGGCCTGCTGTTGCTGTGGAACTAAAGCTGTGGCGAGAGGCCCAAACATCGGAAAACTCGCTAAACTGAAGAGAGTGAGTCTCCTTCGCCAGTGGCCTCTCTTGGCTACGAGACCAGGAAGCTCCTTCTCCCGCCAGATTGCCATGCCAATTTCGGTTCCTCCAGCAGTGCCACATGCCTTGGTCTCATCTTGGACTCTGCTGCTTAGCAGACACGTGGCCCAGAAGGCGGAAGGGGCTGGCGTCTCTCGAGCACCCCCGCAGCCCGGCCCCGCTCCGCGCTGGTTCACGCTTTGCCTTCATGGCAGCAACGCCGGGAGAAACTGACGCGGAGGCTTAGCTAATGCAGTCAGTACAGGTCCAAGCTGAGAATCAGAACCAGGGCTGTCTTGGACCGAAGCCTCCTGTGTTCCAGGACTCCGCCTCCCCATTTGTTGCTGGGGTGGAGCAGATGTGCTGCCTGTTTCCCTACACGGTGTGACAAGATGTGCAGGGGTCTCAGTGCATCTCAGTCCGCAAGTCGGAGGGTCCCAGAGTGTGTTCTGCGCCACGTTCCACGGGTTGATTTTTCAGGAGAAATGTCTAGCTACTTAGCGGTGACTTTAGGGATCGGATGATGAAGTTATTTTTGTTGTTGTTTTGCTTGTTTTCATCTAGGACTGGCGTGCAAAGTTGTGTAGAGGTCCAAAGAGGTCTTGACTCTGGTGTTTCCATTCCACTGTGTTCAGCAGGGCCACTAAGCCCCTCACACTCCCGCTTTCTGACGCTTAATCTTCAGGACACAGATAGGCACGAACATGGCACATTTTGAACATATAAGTCTGCAAAGTAAAACGGTAAAATTGATCTGTGTTCATGAAATAAAAAGACCCAACAAGGCTTTGTTGGAACCAAAATGACCGAATGCATTTAAGAGACCAGCTGGAGCGCTTGACTTTGTTTCCCCAGGCGGGGCTGGTGGGCTAGAGGCTTGAGTGGGTACTGGTCCATCCCACCGCCCCTGGTCCGCAAAGGAGGAGGCAGTCGAGGGGGCGGCCTCCGGCCCTGTGGTTCCAGGTCCTTCTAGGTAACCAGCTCTTCTCTCTCCATCCAGCTTGCCGATGATCAGGGCCGCGTCCTGATGACCACGGTCGCCATGCCCGTGTTTAGTAAGCAGAACGAAACCGTGAGTACAGGGGCCGCACTTCCCGCTGATGCTAGGAGGGTTGCTTTCTGAGACCCCCTCTGACTCAAGCTCTGGTGACCGTCCTTTGTTTACTTACGTTAAGGAGAGAGGCTATGTAATTTTTCCTCCCATTTAATCCCGCTGTTGGAATTCTGAAATCAAGCACAGATGGGAGGAATTCAAGCAGCGTCATTTTACAGGGTGCAGCCTTTTTCCAACATTTAAGTGTTAAATGGCCAGAGGCAGGAAAACCCCGGAGAGGATCCTTGACTAGGGCAGACGACCAGTCTCGATATGTAGTTGCCAGCCCGGTTAGTGTCGTAGTGGCAACAAAGACCCAGAAACAGGGTGGCTTCGAACAAGGAAGTTGATTCTCACGTTTTAGGATGCTGCAGGATCAAAATCAAGGTGTCCCGGCCGCGCTTTCTCTGGAAGCTCCAGGGAAGAATCCTTGCTTGGCCCCTGACTTCCCTTGGTCTGTGGCAGCACGGGTCCAATCTTTGCCTCTTTGTCTTCACATGGCCTTCTTTCCTATGTGTCTCTCTGTCCTCTCCTCTTCTTAGAAAGACACCAGCCATTGGGTATAGGGCCCCTCCTGGATCCAGGATGATTTCACCTCGAGAACCTTAACCGATTACACCTGCTAAGACCCTGTTTCCAAAGAAGGTCACATTCTGAGGTTCTGGGTGGACTTGAATTTGGGGGAGACAACAGGCAGCAGCAATTTGTATTTCTCCCAGAAGGCATTTCCCGCACTGGAAGGTTGTAGCACAGCACACTGACCTTGGACACTGGGACCCCAGTATTCTTTCACTTTAGTTCTTGGTTTCCACTGGCTGCGAACAATCTCAGGCTATGTCTTCTTTCTCTGGCTATTTAGTGTCTCTCCTGGGCACCAGATGGTAGTGTACATTGAGAAAGCAGTTAACACGCTGTAAGTCTTTCCTGTAGAAAGCTTCCATGAGAAAAACTGATTAATGATCACAGTCCTTAGCTGCTGAAACTCTCGTGCTTCTACACGTCCATTCTTCATCTTCCCGAGAGAAGGGAGCGAGGGTGTCTTGGTGTGAGTTGTGGCTGATGATGTTTGACCTGAGAAGCTACCATGCTTATCGGGTAATGGTTTGGGTGGGGGATGGAGGGGAGAAGAGGGCTCCTCTTGGAGAGGAGGGTTAATCCCCACTCTCTATCGTTTTGGAGAAGGCACCAGGCGGTGACCTATGGTGGGGGCTTCTTACAAGTTCTAGTTCTTCTGCCAAATGAACTTACCGTTGTCACTGTTTCATGTTTGTTTTCAGCAGAGATCGAAGGGCATCCTTCTCGGCGTGGTCGGCACAGATGTCCCAGTGAAAGAGCTTCTGAAGACCATCCCCAAATACAAGGTACTGCACCCTAGGTTAAGAGTCGAGGGTCAAGCATTCGAGATACTTTCACAACCTGCCGCAGTGACTATTACAACACAGAAGAAAGAGTCCGTCCTGTTCTCTCTCTGGAGGTGTTGTGAGGGGGAAGAGCTGAGCAGGCCTCTGCGTGCCTCCCGGGTTGGGGCCTGTGGACGTCCACACAGGCCTCTGCAGGTCTAGCAGGTCTGACTTCTCGGGTGGCCCCTAAGCCCGTCCTGACCCAGCCCAGCCTGAGGACCCTCTGCAGTCTGCTCATAGAAACCCAGTGAGGCCCCGAGGAAAAGGGCCGCTGACTGTATTGAAGAAGTGTTTTCTGTCTCAGAAGGTGAGGGGCGTGCATTAATATTCCTTTCCTAGTGCCAAATTGGAGTCCATGTCCAAAAGAATCGCAAGGCTGTTAAAACTTTGGACGTAGTTGAGGGGTGCAATGGGTAACTTTGGTGCAAAGGTAGAGCAGGCCCTGGTGGACACTGCTCTGGGTGTTTGGGACGACACGAGGGGCCCTGAAATGCACGAGCCGTGGAGAGGGACACATGGAAGGGACGCAGGAGGGATGGAACGGCATGGTCTGTGTGGCCAGCCCTGCAGGGGAGGGCCATGCTCCCCCTCACCCGCCACGCTGGGCCCGGCTCTGTGCCCAGCACGCCTCCTCTGCTGTATTTAGTTCCTCTACATTTGGGGACAGAGGGTCGTATGAGCCCCCTGCCACCCTCAGCCAGACCCACCCCACTTCCCACGAGAACGGGCACCCTGGCTTCCACACCACTTCCCAGGGCCGCTGGGTTGGCGCCCCCCGGTCTGGGGCAGGTCAGCACCACCAGGAACCCACCCGAAGCTGACCCACCGTACTCCTCCTGGGCTGGCTGCCAAGGGCCACATGTCGCTGTGGAGATGACGTGGTAGCAGTAGCCGCTGGGGTCCATGGGGGTATGATGCCTTGGCATTCTGTTCTCTGGCTGCTGGAGGGAGCTGCTGTGGTTACAGAAGCACCTGGGTGCAAGGGCACCGCAGGAGGCGGGTCCCCACTGCCGCACACCACTGTCCCTTGGCAGGGCGGCCTGGCCCTGGAAGCAGCCCCCTCCTCACCACCGCACCCCACCTGGTCCTGTGCCACCTGCATGGCCCCGGCTACCCTTTGTACGTACTACAGACTCACTGTTCTTCTTAATCATCTCCTCTCCCCTCGGCCTCACCATCCCAGATGCAATCACGGTGGAGATGGATGGTTCTGTTTCTGAAACCAGGGCAGTGACCTGGCTGGGTTCTCCCTGTAAGAAGATGGCCCAGGGCCTCACGCCCCGCCCAGAAAACTCTCACCTCTTGCCTAGGGAGGGCTCCTGAGAAAAGCCAGTCAGAGGGTGGGAGGAGCCGAGGTCCTCAAACCCCATCAACCCTTCGGACCCCACTCCTGGTCCCAAGAGGTGCTCACTGAGCCGACGTGGTCCCCGACCGCACACGGGTTGAAACCATACCTGTCCCAGCACCGTCTTCACTTTGGGCCACTCACAGATTGACAGGGGCTCCCTTTGCCCCCATTTGGGCGGGGCCAGCTTTTCGAGCCAGGAATAGTGGAGAGGCAGCTGGCTGGCAGGGCCCCTCCCCTACTACCTCCTTCAGTGCTGAGCCTCATTCGCCAGAGCGGTGAGGGGCCCTGGGCCTTCCCGGCGCAGACACACAGGGCCCTGCCCCCACTGCCGAGGAGCCGGTGCCGACAGGCCTGTGGGCGCCTCTTCTGCCCGGTGGCCAGAGCAGCAGCACCTGCTCGAAGGCTGGCGTCAAGCACCGACCTTATCGGTCATCGGGAACAGTGGGAGCACACTGATCAGGGGACGGCTGTACACGCAGCTTCCTGGTGCCCACAGCCCTTCCCAGGTAGAATGCCGCCTGCGCAGAGCTGCCGGCTCCCACTCCAGCTGCCGGCACCTGTGGGCTTCACGTCCACGGAAACTTTGCTGACCTAGGATGCAGGAGAATGCCTAGCCACACTCTCGGGTCCTCTGCCATCTTTAAAAATGAGGTCTTTCCAAGAAGTTTGAAAGGCATGGGGAAAGGCTTAGGGTACAAGGTCACGTGTGTTCAGCAGGATTCCTGAGCTTGATGGCGAGCACGGGCCCACCTTTTGATAAAGGGTTGGGGTAGGAGCAAGAGAATGGATCGGCCAGTCACTGGGCATCACCGCCCACTCTTGTCTAAGCAAGTCAGCTGGATGGATTGACCAGATCACACCACAGAGGGCGGATGCAAAGTGAGGAGTGCAGAAAACGGCTGTTGAAAAGCACTGTTTAGTGGTATGAGACAGGGTGCCTCGTGGTATGATGTTAGCAGACAGCGCTGGCTGGGAACCCAGTGTGCAAAGTGCATTCTGTACATCATGTTAGCAAATCCTCCTTAGGTACGTGCGGTGCTCTGTAAGCACTCTGCTCGTGGGGGGCCCGGTCCACAGGGCGCGTGGTCACAGCCACGTGAGGAGGGGGAGGTGCGTGTGCTTCCAGCCAGGTCTGTGGAACTCCTCCCCACGTGCTCAGAGACCGGAGCCATCCACCGGCCGCTTCGTGATTTGTTGTCTTGCTCATATACCATCTGTGCCATTGTATACTTGACACTCCCCTTGTAAGTCAACGCGGGACTTCTTCACCCAACTCAGTGTCAGTAGGAAGCTCCACAGCATCATTTAAATAGAAAAGCCCGAGCTATTAGCCGTCATAGAGGATAATTGTAAAAAAGTCATAAAAACAAAATAATAGTATTAAATGGTCGGTAACCCAAGGCTCTAAGCTTGAGTTCTGTCGTCTTTTTTAAGGTAGTATTAAAGGCAAGTGTTAAAACAGGGATAACTGGAAACTTTCTTTTTGATATCATTGGAGGGACAGAAGGACTTTGAGAAGGGCTTACTCTCCCTACCTGGTTCTGGCTAGAGGTTTAATACCCAGCCCAAATGTCACCTCTGATTATCTTGCTCTACACTCTGTTTTTCCTAAGAAAGCAAAAGAGTCCATGGGAATGTGATGGAGGCCTGAGAAGTGAGGACCATGGAGGTTTGTTCCCCCTGGAGTGGTGGGCACCCCGCCTCTGGGGCTCCCCTCAGCTTTGGGCATCAGTGCCATCACCACCATTCATGAGCCCATGCTGCACCCCCACCTGCCAGCCCAGGCTTCTCAGAGTCCCCAGAGGGTTTGGTTCTTCCCAGCACTTCCTGTTGGGTCCTCAGCACCTGCTGCACCCCTAGAAAAGGAAGATCCTTTGAACAGACAAGGCAGGTCTGTTCCCATGTGTTGATGCTGTTTAGATGAGCAGATTAGAGAACCACCTGCATCAACGAGGACCTGCGCTCTACGCTCAGCGCAGGTGTCCAGGCTCGTGGAAGGCGGCCTCCTTAGCAAAATCACTCTCCTCCTTGGGCATCTTGAGATGACAAAGGCCTTCCGCCTACTGCCACCCAGGGGCCCTGACAACCGGCCTCCTCTCCCACCAAGGCGTTTCCAGTTGGGAGTTAGGACCGGTGGATCCAAAGCCACATAAACAAGTGTTGGAAGCCGTGCAGCTCCCCAGAGACTGAAAGCAGAGGGAAGAGAGAGAGATTTGAGTTCCCTAAAGGTAATGGACTTCATTTTATGGAGTCTCAGACTAGGTACCCAGAACTGCAGGCTCTCTGTTTAAGGACAGAATGTGTCCAGGCAGTGCTTACGCCCTGATTTCATAGGAGAAGCTGTAGAAACCCAAGTCCAGGGCCACGACTTCATACATGCCCAATGCATCAAGATGAACATGATGTGACACTGATAACAATTACCCCGTGAGTCTATTCTCAGAGCTTCCTCTACTGAGGAAGGCGCTACCCGCGTGATCACACTGTCTCACTTTATAACAGACAGACACTACCGGTACCCTCATTTTGCGGCTGAAGGAACTGAGGCACAGAAAGGTGAAATACCTTGCCACGTTTCATAGCTAGTAAGCCATGGTGTTACCTGCTAGTTATTACTCTAAGGTCATTAAGAACCATAAATGACAGTAATAGTGATAATAGATTAAGAGTTAAAAAAGTAACAATAAAGGCCAAAAAATAGAACAACGAAACACGTATTTCACGTTCTACGGCGTGGTACGGTAAAAATGCGGCGCACGCGCTGTTCCGTTGACGCCTCCCTCGGCTCCCACGGAGAGGGGACAATCTGGCTCCGTTTCCAGCTGAGGAAACTTGAAATGGCCTCTCAAATGTAACTCCTCTAGTAAAAGATAAATGGAACAACATGTCACGAGAGAACAGAGGAAGAACAGAGACCAGAAACTAACCTGCGATGCCTGAAAACCAGGCGCTTCTGTCTCACGCTTTCCCGAGGGGCAGGCTGGGAACCAGAGACACAGGTAGGACACATTACACCTCGGTCATTCCTCCTCTGGTTCCCACAAAACACCTTGGGAAGCGGTGACGTCAGCCGGGCCAGCCAGGGCGGGGCAGGCCTGTCATCCCGGAGGGGGCTCCGGGGAGCGGAGTGCGGATCACACCTTTCCGTCCTGATTAACACCTTGTAAAGATGAGTCAGCTCTTGGCTCTTGGGGTTTCCCCGAAGATAGAATTCTTTCTTTTCCCTTAGCTTCATAGATTTTCCCACCAGCAATCAGACTTCCTGTAATTTTTATTAAGAATTCCAGACACCCCGGCAATAATTTCCAGACACCACAGCCTCTGTTAAGGTAACAAGCCATTTCATAATTGGGTTCACTTCATTAGCCCAAAGCCCCTGCCCCTGGACGGGAGGCGCCTCCTCCCCGGCGCTGGCCTCCGGGGGAGCAGCTTCGGGACAAGGCCCCTCTGGCAGCCCTCGGCTGGACCGCGTGTCCGACTGTTCTCTGTTACTCCACGGGACTGCACATTGGACTGGACAGGAAGACTGGTCCTATTTCAGATGAAATAAAAATTAGAGACTTCATCAGTCTCTTGATTTGTGGCCAAAAACAAGTGTTGGACATTGTGTTCGTATAAGCTTTTGGTTTTCTGAGAGATTCACCCACAGACTGTGTTTTGAGATTCGCTCCGAGTCTCTCTTCTTACACCTAGATTAGGTTATATCCATCGGTCGCCCACCAACCAACACAACGTTCTGGTGCTATTTTGTCAGAATGGTCCTGGGACGGGTTGTCACCAGGCCGTTTCTGAGTGTCAGGAAGACTTATTTCGGAACAGCCTTGAGAAGGACAGAGTGTGCACCTGCCATCGCGGGCCAGCTTCTCCTTTTTGGTTCATTTGTAATATTCACTTCAGTTTAGACTCTAACGATGAACAGATACTATTTGGGCAAAAAATGAAGACTACCTTAAACACACACATACCTTCCCCGGAGCACCTGCCCTGTGCCAGACAGTGCTGGGGTGGCAGAAGGCCAGGTGAGTAACGGCTCCTTCCCCACAAAGAGCCCGTTCTGATGGGAAGGTGCTGTCTCATCTGGAACAGGGCAGAGGAACAGGGCAGCTCGGGTTGGGAGGCAGAAAAGTAGGTGTGGGTTCATGCCTAGGGGTGAAGGTAGTGACGGAGCGATTCTCAGGGTTCTATGGAAACGTGGGACGGAAATGGGAAACCACGGGGAAGGTCTGGAGAGACTCAGTAGGCGATGGTCCTGGGCTGGCAGCCTGGGTGGGAATTAACTAGGGGAAGACGGGGAGACGGGGAGAGCGGTGCTCTGGCCGCTGGTGTGAGTGAGGGTCCGGGAGGGAGCGAAAACCGCAGGGCCTTGTCACCACCCGGTGCCCTGAGAGGCAATGCATGGAAGGAGGCAGGGCTGGGAGCGTAGGTGGGGACCAGACCCCAGGGAGACCTGATGGACCTGACCAAGGATTTTATCTCACCATGAAGAGGTCTTTGGTGGGTTTCCCACAGGGGAGCCACAGGGCCAGTGTGACCTCTGACTGTGCTCAGTCTTGAGGGTGACTTGGTTGGGGCCACACTTTAAGGTGGCGGTAGAGCAGTTGGGACAGTTGTGGACATCTATTACATTAAACCTGCGTGGGTGGAAGGGGGAACGCAGAGCTGAATATGAGTCATTTCTGTAATAAAATTTAGTGACTCCTTGGGTCGACAAGTTGGGAATGAGAGAGAGAAGCCAGCCTAAGGATGGTGCCCTGATCTCTGAGGTGCACACCGGGTGGGTGGTGGTGCCACTGCCGGAGAGAGAGCGGCAGGAAGGGAGAGGGTCACCACCATGGGCTGGGTGTGACATCCTGAGGCGCCTGAGGGATGCCCAGGTGCAAATGACTGACACCCCATTAGGTACTTGGATCTGCCCCTGAGGGGAGAGGCCATGGCTGGAGCTCAGGGCTGCAGACCACAGCACCCGAAGGTGCTGCAGCTTACTGGGGGAGAGAGCTCAAGCAGACACGGGCACCGGGGAGAGGAACTTGGGGGCAATGAGTGCGTGAGTGGTGGTAGAGGGTAGGGGTCCTATGAAGAGGAGGAAACCTGGGCGTATGGGCCCTGGGAGCTGAGGGAGAAGCCTGCACAGAAAGAGGGGGCAGTCGGCTGATACAACCAGGAAGGTTCAAGATGGAGCTGTGTGTCGGGTTTGGTCATTAGAAGCCACTGGCAACTGTGGGGAAGGAGTTCTGGTGCATCGTGGTGGGCAGAGGCAGGATGGGCACCAGGGAGGCAGAGCGCAGGCCTCGGTGAGCGGAGGACGCCGGGTGGGAGGTCAGTCTCTGCGCACAGGCGAGGAAGCAGAGTTGAGGTTGGCTTTGTAGGATCTGCGCTCAATTCAGCGTGTTTGACTCTTTCTCCACTTCCTCCTTTTACGCTTTCTGGTTTCCCTTTCCCTCTTCCCTCATCCCCACCACCCCTCCGCGTATTTTTAACCACATGGCATGACCTTGGCCATCATGCAACTTGCGAGGACACAGGCATGAAATCATCAAAGCCCCTGACCGATGCCTTGATAACTTACAATCAATCTCACAAATACTCGATTACTGACATTTTGATAAGTGCTGAGGAGGGACAGCAGAGAGCATTGAGGGAGCGTGTGTAAGGAGTGCTATCGTCTTTTGAGTATGACTTCTTACAAGCAAACCAAGAACTGAAGTAATATCCATCAGAAGGCACGGAATATATTAGCTGACTATAAACTATCATTTGTTTGGTCTAATTTTGAGTTCGGATTTCCAATGAAATACCACTTTTGCCTTTAATGGAAAAAGTCAACTCTCCAAGTCCTTTCTGACCCCTCCAGTGGTACTAAACTGAGACATAAGAATGGTAATTAATGCAGTGTTGACTATGTCTGACATTTTTCCAAGAGACAAGATGAAAGAGACAATATACATCTCAAAGGATAGGAAATCTCTGGTTTATCTTTCGCAGCATAATGAAATATACTTTTATCATTAGAGTAAGTAGAATCTAATTAAAACTTGCTGTGCAAGGTAACTCCAGGAGAAAATGTCTGTTGCCCTTGACTACCACATGCGTATTTGCTTTATGTAATGCAGAGGGGACTTTTAATTGCCAGTGTTAAATTCTCTGAAGTTAATTTCACATCACCTTGCCGTTAAGCTAAGAAGCAGGCAGGGGTCGTTCTTGGTTTGTAAACTTTGTTGTCTGGATCATTTAATAGTATCATATTCAAGAATGTGATCAGCAGAGAATTTTAAAGGAAAGTAATGGTGAGAGCTCAAAACTATGAAATAACTCGTCAGAAAAAAACGGGATTTTTTTTTCTTCTCCCCTTTTACTGCTCTGGCAAAAGCGGGTTACATTTTCTTTCTTCAGAGAGAGAGAGATCAGTGTGGGTTTTATGCCAGAGGCCATTTTAATACATGAGTGATTTGTAGGTAAATTTATTGTAGCCAATGGGTGCAGTCAACTGTGTAATAGAAATATTGTCAAAAAGCCAGGATTATTATTTAAATAAGTGCAGTGTTAAATTTGATTACATACTTTTTAAAGCTAATAAAACATTTCATTGCTCTCAAACTATTTCCCATAGTCCCATTTAGTCAGAAAACATAAATTAAGCGAGGTTCTGCATAGAAAATTATCCAGGCTTTGTGTCGATGGAAGCATGCATGCAAAAGCTTGGCAGACTCACAATGTAAAGACAAAAGGATATAAAAGGGGTTGGCAGGCTGCTCTATGGGCTGGGGGGACACTTTTATCCTTGAAGAATTATAAAAAATGACTGCCGAGGCGAGTGTGTGCTGGCGACAGCCCCTCTGGGTGTGGAATTGTGGGGAGCCTCCATGTGACTCGGGATGAGCTCACGTCCTCCCTTATCGTAGACGGAGAGAAGACACTCAGGTCGATCAAGTTCTGTTCACTTGGACACAGGGTCTTTGCAGAAACATTAGCCACTTTCTTTTTTTTTTAAACGTAATTGTTTTTGTTTTAAATAAATCAAAGTAAAGCCTTTGATGCCAACGCGGGGATGTGACATTTTAAATTGTGCTATTTGCTGAGCTTATCCTGTGACAGGTTTTCATTTCCACCAAATGTCAAGGTTCAGCGCCTTGCATTCATTTTAATGAAATATTGTGCTGATAAGGGTTATGAATGCCAAGTTTAAGCTGTAAATTACTAAATGTCGGGCTGCTTTATGCTTTGTGAATTCACCGGGGAGCAAGCTAATGAAGGTTTCTTTCCCGCTTCCCCTTACAGCTAGGGATTCATGGTTATGCCTTTGCAATCACAAATAATGGCTATATCCTGACGCATCCAGAACTCAGACCACTGGTAAGAGACACACTTATTTCTGTTTCTCCTTTTATGATTTTAAAAGATGTTCCGCAGTGATGATGCTGTGCAGCAGTTCAACATTAAAAGCTCAATTCGTAGTACTGTCTCCTAAAGGTTGTTTTCACAGCTAATAAATAAGTAATGTTGTATCAGTGCATTTACTATCATACTTTTATACATAAATCCATATATACCTATATGTATTTGCTTATCTATTTCACAGCTGCCAATATACGGAAATTATTAACTCTAGACTGTTTGAAACATATCATGATGGTACCTTTATATAACAGATAGTCTCACTCTCCAACCCAGACTGACTTGTTGCAAGTTACACTTGATACAACAGACTAGAGCCAGGATCCCTGGAAATTTGTTATGCTAGGATTTGCCCCCGATTACATCGCCTACACCTAATGCTGCCTGTGTTGAAGGGATTCAACAATAGCTTTTTTTGGTTAAAACAGTTGAGATTTTCGCCCTGGCCGATTTGACTCAGCGGTAGGGTGTTGGCCCATGGACCAAAGAATCTTAGGTTCGATTCTGGTCAAGGACACGTGCCTTGGTTGCGGTTCAGCCCCAAGCCCTGGTTGGGGTTTTATGGGAGTCAACCAATCGATGTGTCTCTCTCAACGTCAATGTCTCTCTCTCTCTCTCGCTCTCTCTCCCTCCCCCACTCTATCTGAAGATAAAAATGGGAAAAAGTATCCTCGGGTGAGGATTAAAAAAAAAAACCAGTTGAGATTTTCTTTGTTTCCTGCCAAAGCCATCCATATCCAGTAGCATGTTTGGTGACCTGACCTGCAGGCCGTTCCGTTCAGCATGTTTCACCTTCTCCCCAGTGAGTGAGGTTAGGCCAACCCAGGGCAGCCCAGGGATCAGGTCCGCCCACTCCCTGGCAGGAGCTGCAGGGAGCCTGGTGTTGAGGGGGATTCTGAAGGGCAGCCATTCTCGGGGAGAGGAGTCCTGGTCCCCTGGCCGCATCGCCTGTGGGCACCGAGGGGCGTCGGCAGCGAGGATGCCATGTCTTTGCCTCTGACTAGTTGCTCTGTGTTGAGAAGGGGCATCCCTTTCGGCTTGCATGTGTCTGGCTCGTTTTACAGAAGATCTAAAGGGGTAAAGAGTAATACAGTAAATCCTGCTTTTGAAAGTTACGAAAGTGTAGGTTGTATCCTGTGGCAATCCACACCCACACCCACATGTTCACACGGCCCCTGTGCCCCAGACGTCTTGTCTGTTTTCATCGAGATGAGAAAAGAGTGACTGTGCCACTGAGCAAATGTTTATCGGGGAAGCACGGTGGGGACCAGTTTGCTTCTCTCTTGACTCTGTTCAGCAGAGTTCATGTTGGAGCTCCGTCATCGTCCGACTTTGCTCTCATCACCCAGATATTGATGGAGTCATGGCCGCGTCCCGAGGGTCCCATATGCTCCCTTTAAGATGGGGATTATGCTGATATCTGATTTCTACGATCCTTAACTGGTTAGCTGGTTCCCAACGTAACTGAATGATTGATCAGTCTGGTTGAGAAAGATACTAACTTTTTAAGGATATTTGAGTCTAAACACGTATTTAGGTGTAAAAGCTGAGCCCTTCGCCCATGTGCCAGCTGCCCAGCTGGGGTAGTCTGTGGAGAGGGGGACAGTCATGGGTTTGGTGCGGCTCAGTCTGGCTCCTGGTGCTTATTTGTTCCAAGCGGGAGTGAAACAGAGTAAATGAAACAATCAAACCTGGATCTTCTGCCAGTGAGTGATTAACTTCCTAGTTGCCGGCTTTCAAAGAAGGGGCGGGATGGATCCGGATGCAGAAGTGGGCAGGCCCTTCGCTCCCTCTGCCGCAGTGGCCAGCAGCTCCCGTGGGCACTGGAGCTCGCAGCGCCCTTGGCTCGGCTCTGTGTCCGGGTCATGCCACCAAAGGTCAGTTTGCAGATGCTCCCTCTGATGCACTTTTCAGCCACGGAGGGGCAACCGAAAGGCTCTTCGTGAAGCAGGCCAACCAGTCATCACTGTCATCCTACCAGTGTGAACACAAATCATGTCTGCTCTCCCCATTGTTGAAACATTGTACCGAATGGTTTCACCAAAAGCGGTAACCAGGGTCAAGTTCCCATCAGTGGGATGGCCCCAGCAAATGCCCCATATCTCACCTGTGAAAATCCAAACCAGAGGAGCCACATAGCCATTGATCTGTGATAAGAACCTAAGGAATAGCCAGGCCATTTATCTATCTCTGACTCAAGGCCATGAGGTCTTTAGAAGAGATTTGAGCATTGCCAGTCATTGATGTGAACAATAAGTGAATGTTGGCTATGCCTAGAGTTTTGCATTTTCCTCTTGGGAAAATGATAGCAGTGAAGTGGAAGGGACTCAACTTCAGAAACACAGGGGTTGCCCTTGACATCCCAGCTGTGTGACCTTGGGCAAGTCACTGCACCTCTCTAAGCACCAGTTTCTCTTATAATCCTGCCATAACCATAGTGCACATATCTCAGCTTGGCTATCAGAGCAAACGGAATAATGCCAGCAAAGAGTTTGTGTGACGCAGCAGGGCCCAGGACATCGTGGGGACAGTGGTGGTGAACCTGGCACCCTGTTTGTGTTATATTGGCTCTAAAGATCTGAGCTCACCTGCTGTAAAGTTTGGGAGGACGTGGTGGTGGAGGATGTTACGGGAGATCTTAGGAACACTTTTGATTACTCGGTTCAGATTATTATAGTAAACATTGGTGAGAAATCATGTACATGGATATACACACACGAACAGAAACAAAGTCCTTGGAACCATGCAATGTACATTCAGTGCTAACTTCAGTTGGCCATCAGCTTCGTGAAAGCTTGGCTAAGCCTCTTTGTGCCTGTCTGTCTGTCTCTGCCCCCTCTTTCCATCTCTGTCTCTGTCTTTCGTTAATATCTTTCTCTCTCTCTCTCTCTCTCTCTCTCTCTCTCTCTCTCTCACACACACACACACACACACACACGTTCTCAGTTCTCTTGGCCAACTCTGGTCTAGAAGACAGATAAAAGCTGTATTATAAGGTTCGGTTTGAGCCCTATCACGTGAGGAAACCAAAGTTTTTGTGGTTTGTTTGTTTGTAAAGTAGCAATAAGAAGAGTACTAGGAGCTGCAGCAAGTGGAGAGGACAGTTAAGAGTGGACCCGCCTGGGTGGAATACTCCTGGCTTTGGCGCACGCAAGTCATTTGTTCTTGTCTGTTTCTCTGTTCATCAGAACAACAAAAGCTGAAAGCTGCCCCCACCTTCCCCCTCGTCACCCGTCCACTCAGCACCCAGTAGGGACTCAGTCATCATCAAATGAATGAATGAAGGCATCCTCCAAAACCACTGTTTTCGCGTTCACCTACTTTGGGTGGTTCGGATAATTTAATTTGGGAGCTTCCGCTGGAAACCCTGGGTTTGCGCGGAACATGATCCACATTGGTCAGAACCCTCACATGTGGCTAGGAACGGCCAGCTGCCAGCAGCCCCCCCGGCTAGCTGGGGATTCAGGCGAGGAACCCTCGTTCAAACCCGCCTTGCTTTTCCGAGTCCCACCATATAATCGAATCCTTACTATAAACGCATGTTGCCCTTGGTTCTGGCCAAGGCTACCAGATGAGCATTGGGTGTGAGTGGGGGGTGGTGGCCAGCACGAGAGGAGGAGCAAACTCACTTAAAACAACTCACATTCCCTGTCTGTCTGCCACTGAGGTGGTTTCTGCCCCTGCAGCCAGAGGAGAGTGGGTTTCTCCGAAGCACAATACCAATATTTTTCTAATTTATCCAATAAAATCTCTCCCCTGAACTTCATGTTTGGCTTGATTTTATCCAGTGTTTTCTTTAATTTGTATGATTTGGGTGTGAATCATGAAGCGTCTCCAAAAACAGCTCAGAGGTAGGGGCCTTACTCAGCCAACTTGCTTTGGTTTCATTAGCAAAACTGCGCAAGTCATACCTCTCTGAGGATCACTGGGTACCCTTCATCTGTCCCCAATTGTCTCGCCATCACTCTGCCCTCGCCATCAGCTTTTTACTTCCGGGAGGCTAACTGGTGTTGGCCCCACAGATGTCTGCCTGGCGCCTGGTGTGGGGGTCCTGCTGGGTCAGGGGTGCCCCGTGGGTGGGCGTCACACCTCTTCTCTGAGTGGGGACGGGACAACAGCACAGCCCGAGGGATTCATGTTAGACCTTACAGAATGCTTTCTGAGTAGCTATTAAACATCTGGAAATTTTTTCTTGGTCTCTACCATTCTAACATTTAGGTTAAAAATATTTCAAAGTATAGTTACTTCTAGTTACTGTCTAGGTTGATTTGTTTTGCGCTTTATTCTTCTCATGCCTTTGAGAGCTTTATGGATTTTTTTTAAAAATGTGCAACCCTGAATATGTCCCTTTTTCTTTTGCCCAGCAGGGCACTGAGGGGGAAAAGACAGAAAGTACCGCCTTTAGCATGACCTGACGCTCTTTTGTTTTCTGTTTTTGGTTTTTTTTTTGAGAGTTTGTTGATCCCCCTCCCCCTCCCCCTTTCCCCTTTAGAAGAAAGGAACATCTAAGCAGATGTCCTTCCTAAAGGAGGCCTGGAAGGTGGATCTGGTCCAATCACCGAGAGAAAACAAAGATCCCCTTCCATAAGTCACAGGACAGGGTGGGCTCCATGGAGGAGCCTGAGGACGGCATGACCTAAGACTTGTTCCAGGAGGCCCACGGTGACATTTGCCAAAAGATGTTTGCTCGGCGCCCGCAGTGCCAGGAGGGGGAGGGATGCTGGTAGGTGTCTGCTCTGGATGAAAGTTTGCCAGCCACATGGTGTGGCGGTGGATGCCGTGGGAGGTGGGAACAGTGGAGAGAAACCTTCAGTTATTCCTCTGCCTTTGCTGAACGCCCTGTGCCCCGGCCTGAGCAAGCGGCTGGAGTGGCTACAGAACTGTTTCCTGCCTCGGAGAACTCAAAGTCTGAGACGGACAAGGCTGAATACCTAGAGGAAATGCATTTTTGTATGTTT